TTATAAGATGGAGCCGCCCTATGCACCGCTGAGTGAATCCTGCGCCAAGGCGCTGGGCGACAAGGTGTACGAGAAACGAAAGTTGGCCTCCCAAGAGATCGAAAAGTACGTAGAACCCAAAAAGAGTCGTAGCCCAGTCGTCACACCTAATCAAAACATTTTGACTGGATTCTGTTGCACTCCCATGAAGAATGGTGACGGAATTCAACCACAAGAACAACTCGGGTCAAATTCGTAAACTAATTGAAGTCTTGTCGAATGACTATGCCACATCACGGGACGCGAATCGCCGCAAAGGGGCTCTTATCGGACTGGCCGCTACTGGATTAGGGCTGGGAAAGGTATGTTTTGCCAATTAGTCACGAACACGCAGAACAGATAGACATGTATTAATTTCTCGGTGGCAGGACTCGGATAAGTACGTCAATGAACTTGTGACGCCCATATTGAATTGCCTCTCCGATCCAGATTTGCGCGTCCGTTATTTTGCCTGTGAATCGCTGTACAATGTGGTCAAGGTGGCCCGCTCCGCTATTATACCCTTCTTTCCAGAGCTGTTTGGTGCACTTTCTAGGCTAGTCACTGACTCTGATCAAATGGTGAAGGATGGCAGCGAACTGTTGGACCGTTTGTTGAAGGTATGCTGGATAAAATGGCTTTGGTGGTCACAGAATAACTTTCTCAACATTCCTGCAAAAAGGATATTGTTACAGAATCCTCACAGACCTTCAACCTGGAGGCGTTCATTCCACTGCTTAGAGAGCATATCTACGTTAAGGATGCGTTCGGACGCCAATATGTAATCTCATGGATATCAATCTTAAATGCGGTCCCAGATATCAACATGGTCAACTATCTCACGGAGATCCTGGATGGCCTGTTCGTTATGCTCGAGGATAACACACCCGAAATACAGCGCATGTGCGAGACGACGATTAGCCAGTTTCTGAAGTCGATACGCAACGACTCGTCCTCGGTACGGATGGAGGACACCATTAATACGCTGATCACCCATGCCCAGTCGCCCAACGAGCTGATCAAATCGATTGCCATCACCTGGATTCGGGAGTTCGTGCAAATATTTGGCCCAAATGTATTGCCCTTTGCCGGCGGTATATTCACAGCTATACTGCCCTGCCTCGAATATAATGTGGAATCCAAACGGAGTAAGACTCGTCAGATCTGGCGTGCAAACTGAATTGAATTACAGCAGTATATCCTCTTTCTTAGGCATAAAGGAGTGCGCCGTATCTGTGAACAGCTCGATGATGCGCCTTGTTTCCACCAAGGAACTCAAAACGCAGACCATTGCAAAGATTGACTTGCGTTCCATTATGGACGTTCTGTCGCAGTACCTCACGCATAACTCTATGCACACAAAAATCGCTGTGCTCAAATGGATGCATCATTTGTTTACCAATTTTCCAAATGAAATGTCCATTCATGCCAGCAATTTGAATAACAATCTCCTATCCACGCTCGCCGACAACTCTGATGAGGTGGTGCTCCAAAGTCTGTCCGTTCTGGCGGAGATTGTCAACTCGCAGGATACGAGAGGTAGGGACAAAATCAAGCCCCAAATAATTGATATTGCTATATTTATTTTCTAGATCTCAATGACTTCAACAAGACACATTACCGCAAGTTTTTACTTAGCTTATTGAACCTCTTTAGCGAAGAGAAACTGATTTTGGAGAACAGAGCTAGCCTTATCATAAGGTAATTTATTCTTTTCTCATAATATGCAAAAACATAAACTACAAAAATGGTTGTTTCGCTGTACAACAGGAATCTCTGTGTGCTGCTGAATGCTGAATACATCTACCGCACATTCGCTGAGATCATTGCAGAGGAAGTGCCCAACTTGAAGTTTGCCTCCACTGTGGTGCGCATGCTGAACATCATACTGTTGACCTCCACGGAGCTGTTCGAGCTGCGAACCAGCTTGCGGAACATTTCCAACGAAAAGTCTGCCGATCTGTTTCAATGCCTCTACAAGAGCTGGGCCCACTGTCCGGTGTCCACCCTGTCGCTGTGCTTACTAGCGCAAAGCTATCAACATGTTTCCCAGCTGGTCGTACTATTGTAGGTAATTACTTCATATCCACACAACCCTTTCGCTTACTTTTGCTTATTTGTTCCCTCAAGTGCTGATGTTGAAGTGACCCTGGAACTGCTGAACGAACTGGATAAGCTTGTACAGTTGATTGAATCACCAATATTTGCAACGCTACGGCTAACGCTCGTATCGAAAGCGAACAATGGCGCCGATGCACAATATTTGGCACACGCTCTGTTTGGCATTCTCATGCTGCTGCCCCAAACGGAGGCCTTCGACACCCTTCGCAACCGTCTCCAGTGCGTGCCCAACTATTGGGGCCAGGATCGCATGTAAGATTCAATATTCTTCTACTGATAGACACTTGCACATCTTTTTCTATTTCCCGCTTAGCGATGAGCGCAATTCGCTGGAATACAAGAGCGGGATCGATTTTGATGCCCTGCAACAGCATTTCATCAAATTGCAAAAGGCACACCGGGAACAGCGAATCGTGCATCGTAAGCGTAGCGTAATTACGCCAGAGTAATACATCTTTTTAAGCATATTTTATTTAAATAACCTGTGATTAATCGTGCAGTCAATCGCATTTCTGTTTTAATAAACATGAAACTGCCTGAAATTCGATAGTAACCTTGCATTTGATTTTCTCAATAAATAAGATTATTCGAATATCTCTTCGATTGCTTTTCGATTATTATTATTTATATTTTCCAATGCCAGTTGGTAAAATTGTACAATGATGCTGGTACATTTGCAGAAGGAAGATGGTTTGGTCCATTGTCAGTTCGGCCTTCGATAAGGTCTTTATACGATTTTTGACCTTATTAAGGATCTCAACTTCGGGTGGTGTGAATGTCTCCACAATCTGAAATGCAAAGAGACAGACCTCTCAGACACCATTGTGCAGTTGTTTAAACCTGGATTTACCTCGGCAATGTATTCGTCAGATTCTCCGCGCTCCTTCATGGTCTCCACTATGCAGTCCAGTCTTAGTGATTTATCTATAAGACCCGTGTGCTCATTTTTCTCAAAGTTTGAACGCTCGATGGTGTTATAGAGGGACTTGTAGCAAACGTCCAGTAACATCCTCACAGACTGCATGAAGTAGATTAGATGTAAATATTTTTTAAATCAGCTTTTAATCTAAATTGTCTCACATCCTTTTCCTTGATCTGAAAGAGATAGAACGCCTTTGCCAGACCATTGCCCCCGCCACCAGCTTTCTTGATCGCCTTGACGTGAATAAACTGATCCTGGAACAAATTGTAGGCAAGTGATTTGGCCTCCTTGGCCGGTATCATCGCCTCTTTCTGCAAATCCTCTTGTTCTATAAATTTCTTGAAGCGTATCACTCGGAATATTCGTGCCGCTTTTGAACCAAAACGCTCAGTAATCACAGACTCAATGCACGCAAAGGCAAGCGACTGAAACGCATGTTCCATATCCACAACATACAGACCGCCACCCATGTCACCCACTCTTCGAAGGAAACCAAGGGAGTCGTCAGCTAAAATGTGTAAACCAAACATGTTGTAGAAATTCGCCCAATTCTCTGGTTGATTATTATTACTTAGTAAAGTTATGTACTGATCCAAGTGCTTCATAAGATCCAGATTGTTCGATTTCTTCTCGATTGTCTGCTTAATATCCACAAATGTGATTTGGTTGGATAGTTTCTGTATGTGAGAGATGAAGCCACAGTTTTTATCTGTGCCTTGACACACTAAGAGTCCTTATACCCACGCGCTGCCATGGATCCGTTGTTTTGTACATTATCTTCAATATGAAACGAAAGCATTCGGAAGCATTTTCCCCCAGCTTGCGTTCAATGGCGTCTATCATGATGGCATCCCGAAAGTCCTGATGGAAACGGTCATAGTTGACGTTCCAGATCATGTTACTGTCCCCGGCTTCTGCTAATGTTGCCTCGCCTCTTCGGATCTTCTCTATCAGCTGAAGATCAACGTTGGGGTGCCTGAAATAATCACACTCGTTGCTTTCGAATTTCGGCAGGACCTCATCCTGCTCTTCCGACAATATTAGCTCCGGCCTCTTAATGATATAGTGATCGGTTATCATTTGCAGAAAGATGTTGCGGTAGGATTCGGCACTATCCGCCCTGGTATCTTCATCTGATAGGCATTTTGTCAGTGTCGCGCTCGCTGTATCCGAGCCCGCGCTGATTAGCTCCTCTGCAATAGATGCACCAATACTTCCATACTTTTTTTGTACCATATGAATGTACCTAAAGCGAATTCTCGTTATTTTGTCATGCTCGATTTTGTATGGGACGGCGAGGGCTTACCGCGGGTAACGCAGCAGACAGAGAATATCTTGACGACTAAGGGAATATTCTGGGACAAACGGATTCAATTTGGTGGCTTCGAAGTTCACTAAACGAAAATTAATTAGCACCGATAGTGCTAGTCCTACCTCTTTGCGGGATAACTTTGTGGCACTCGCGATTTGCGACAATGTCCGCGTGGTTGCCGAAAACAAACAATCAGACACCGACTGCGACACTTTCCCGAAACACTGTTCCACAATCGCAGAGCACAGATGAGCGTAGTCCGCAGACATGATTGCATCAGTCTTTTCTTTTTCTTTGATCTTTTAACATTTTTTTAACAAAATCTACACAACAAAAACACCTCGTTGAATTCAGCTGTTTTATCAACAAACGTGTCGATATCGATAGGTATCAAAACCGTTCTCACGAGTCACGGTAGTGATCAACTAATAGGCGGGATACAATTTAACAGCTATTCCGTTCCAAATCAGGAGGAAGGATTACCTGGCTGGTGAATAGTGATTTATTGTGACTTGTAGTTTTGCCCATCGCTACTTTCTCGGACATCGATCTTATCGATTGTGCCATCGATGGTTTTGCAGCCACTATATTCACCGAAAAACAACATACTTTTACAGATACAGTTACGTTACTGTTTTATCTGAATAAATTTAATCTTAGGGGTCTTACCAATGGCCACATGTTGCACCCGATCGAAAACTACAACAAGATTCTGGGGTGAAGCCCGCGGCCACTATCAGCAATACGCGCGGCCCTTCATTATAAATACAGTTCTCGCCCACATATTTTACTCGGTTTCATCTTCTGAACGGTCCAAGAAAAAATACTAAAATTCTTTCAGGTTAGAAATTGCGTCAAAATAACGTGGCGATTTATTTTTAACTTATTTTCCTTTTCCGTCCAGTGCTTTCAACGATGTCGGAAGTGGATTCAGACACAGAGGGCCAAGGTCAGGGGGTAAGTGCTCTGGATACGTTCCGCGAAAGCTGGCAGCGGGAGCTACAAGTGCAGGCGGAGCTCACACAGGTGGACGCCGGGTCAACTGTCCCTGGCCATGGCCATGCCAGTGAGGCTGATCTTCTGCAGGCCAAAGCGGAGAGTCTGTACCGCACGGCAGTTCAACTGGAGCAAAGAGGCAAGGTCTACGACGCAATACCGTTCTATCGCAAGGCCACGCAGATCGTACCTGATATTGAGTTCAAGTTCTATGAGCAGCAGAAACTAAACAACGAGGCCAACAAGAAGTATAATAACATGGCCAGTGACTTCGCCAAGCAACTTGATCTTGGGCAGCCGCAGTCCGAGGGGATAGAGGGCGGCGACAAATTGATCGAAAACTTGTATGAAAAGTTCCAGCATGACCTAAGTCAAGAGAATGTCTACAACGGCAAGCTAATGGCATCCAGCCGAGATCCTGGCGTCATCTCTACGGGACTACACATCTCCGATTTGCCACCCGAGATTGTGATGCGAATCCTGCGCTGGGTCGTATCCTCCCAGCTGGATATGCGCTCACTAGAACAATGCTCCGCTGTCTGCAAAGGGTTCTACGTGTATGCACGAGAGGAGGAGCTTTGGCGACTGGCATGTGTTAAGTAGGTCCTTCCCCTGCATATACTAATTGTATTCTTGTATATATTAATCTCTTACTTCACAGAGTTTGGGGCCACAGCACTGGTACTTTAGATGCCCAGGATTCGGAGAATACAACCGTCTACAGCTCCTGGCGCGACATGTTTATTCGTCGGGAGAGAGTTAATTTCAGCGGATGTTATATTAGCAAAACCACGTACCTGCGAATGGGCGAGAACAGTTTTCAGGACCAATTCTATCGACCTGTACAGCTTGTGGAATATTACCGGTATATTCGATTCATGCCCGATGGCAAGGTTCTGATGATGACGAGCGCCGACGAGCCATCCCAGGGAGTCACCAAGATTCGGAACTTGCACAACATACGCCCAGATGTTCTGCGTGGACGCTACCGGCTGTTTGGCAACACAGTAACGCTGGTCCTGCAGAAGTCGTCACAGACAAGGGGCACCACTGGGCATATGCGCCAGAGACGTGGCAGCGTCATGCCGTTGGACGAGGACTCGAACACCACACAGTTTCTGATTGAGCTGCGCATCACACACTCACCCAAGCGGCGCTGTGCCCAGTTGGTGTGGTCGCACTACACGCTGGTGCAGAAGCGCAACAAGGTCGACACCAGCTCCGACTTTGACCTGACGGACGCAAAGTATCCCTCTCTGTGGTTCTCACCTGTAAAGAGTTATCACCTAGACGCCGATGCACCATTGGTCTAAACTATAGACGTTCCTTTAAGCATGGAAATAAAAAGTATGCGTAACCTAACCAAAAATTGAAAACAGCTCTGGAGGTGGAGTGGAAATAACGAGATATTTTTAGCAACTATCTTTCATCGGCATGTCTAAAAGCGTACAACGTTCTTAACAACTAGAGCATAAAATCTTCCTAGGACAATTGAGAAGCTTAGCTTTCCCCCCATCGGTTACGTGAATGCAGTTTGCGTTTAAAATGTTCCTTCAATCGAACTAAAATCGTTGCAAAGTTCGGCAACTATTAGCAGCTACTGCGTCAGCTAATCACTAGCGTCAATCTAAGACTCGGCTTGCACAACTATATGCTCATAGCGCATCAGGTCGGGGGTGTCCCAGCAGCTCTTGAGGCAAGTAAAGACCAGCACGTTGCCGTACTCAATTGGTGCATTGCAGCCATTGTGCTGGAATCGGAGCTTGGGAATCAAAGTTGGTAGCAGCTGAACCTCACAGATGGTTTCGCCCTTGCAGTTCTGACACTTGGGCAAAAGATCGGTGAGCGGTGCCACCAGCAACGGCAGAGCATCCCGGGAATACCTGAATGGGGTTTGGATGACATTAATGAATGAATCACATTGGCAAGGGCCACAATTACCTCAGTATTTGGCCCGGGTTTTGCTGAATGGTTGTTATAAAATTGTGAAAAACAATATCGCCATGGGCGGGCAATGCCTTCTCGTAAGACTCGTGGTCGTCACATGGCTCGCCGGACGACGAGGCACCACCACCCATTGGCGAATGTGCCGATTCGTCGTCCCTCAGCTTATACTCCTGATACAGATCCCGTATGTGATCCATGGACAAGGTGCCGCCATAGTTCTCAAACTCCTCCACCTTGACCTTGCTCTCTACATCCACGGCAATGAAGTAGGACTTCAGCGTCAGATCCTGGGGCAGCGGTCCCAAGGTGGCCGGTATTGAGGTGTGCTTAAGCAAAGCGATTAAGTCACGTTCCGGCTTCTTTGGTGTATCGACCAGGACGACATCATTTTCGGGACCTTCAATTTCAGCACAAATCGCTGCAGTTGCAACTGCACCAGCCACATCCGCACTAGGAGCTGCCGCTGCGGCACAATTTGCATTCGGATCCTCATCTGCATTCTGGGGCGAGCTCATGTCGATTTGATTAAAGCCACAAACCAGGTCATTTTCCACAGACGTGCTCTCGTCTTCGTCGTCTTCATCATCGCCAATCTTGACTTGTTCCTGCTTCACCGACTCCTCCATTTCCATGCCTCCCTTGGCGTACTGCAAAGCATTCAGCCTGACATTCCCGTTCCGCTCATTCTGCTCGTCGTCGGCAGTCATATCCATAGCCTCGTCCATGGTTTCCGAGACGTCATTACGACCGTTGCCACCGCTACCTTCACTGTCGCCCCAATCATCGGCTCCACTGCACCAGTTTACTGGTTGCACTCCGCTCGATTTGGTCTTTTTCTTATGCTTGGCAGGCGCTGCCGTTGTCTTGGCTTGCTCACAAATCACATCAAACTGATTGTCCAAGTGCTGTGTGCGGACACACACCCAGCTCTTGGGGTTTTGCGAGCACGCGGGGCTAACGCACCCGAACACATATAGATTACGGTGAAACTGAGATCGATCCAACGGCGCGTACATTTGCACTATCAACGGGCGTACCGTGCCGCACAGAGGGCAGGCGGGCACGGTAACCTCATGCCTGGGCCAGTCCTGTGTGTAAAAATCAATTTTAATTATCAACGCTCTGGGCAAGAGTTCGCAGCCGCATTTGCATCTGCATGTGCCTGCCTGGCTCACTTACGGGCAGGCCACCAATTTTGTTGGTGCTGCTGTTCAATAACTGCTCCTGCTTAACTGTAATTTCCTCATCTTCGTATCCCAGGTACACCGTCGATTTATTCTTGGCCATTTTTCATGTTTCGAGCCGATTTTGTTAAATTGCAATGTAGTACATATTGTATCGATAGGTATACAAATATATTAATATCGATACTCAAACGATGTCGATATTTCCGTGCGATTTTAACTACACTTTTCTCAACTTGGCGCAAAGTTATAGTCGTATTCCCATCTTTATCTTTGTTTTTCCACTCAAATTGGCTTCAAATCGTATGAACATAACATTCAAATTTTTGCTTGAAATACTTTAATACCTTTTTTTGCAGCATTCAACGATTACCGAAATGCCTAACATTAAACTGCAGTCCGCGGAGATGGAAATCTTCGAAACCGACATCGAGATAGCAAAGTGCTCCGGAACTATCAAGGCAATGCTGGAGAATTGCGTCTCGGAGAATGATGAGGATGCCGTTGTCCCTCTGCAGAATGTGAGCTCGACCATTCTGCGTAAGGTACTGATGTGGGCGGAATACCACAAAGACGATCCCCAGTCGCCTGACGAGGACGAGAAGCGCTACAAGGTGAAGCGCACCGACGACATTATCCCGTGGGATGCCGAATTCCTCAAGGTAGACCAGGGCACACTCTTCGAGCTAATGCTGGCCGCCAATTATCTGGATATCAAGGGTTTGCACGAGGTGTCTTGCAAGACCGTGGCCAATATGATTAAGGGTAAAAGTCCAGAGGAAATACGCAAGACTTTCAACATCAAGAAGGACTTCACTCCCGCCGAGGAAGAGAAGGTGCGCAAGGAGAACGAGTGGTGCGAGGAGAAGTGAGCTGAGCAGCGGCAAGCGGGTGGACCATCGGGGCGCCGCCATCAGCTGCTGGTTGACTACACAATAAGTTAATAATTTGTAATATCAATCATAAAAGTCTCTGAGATCTAGGAGAGACATGACTCATCAAGTATATTAGTTCAAGAATGTGTACTTTCCCCACAAATGCAATGTACCCCTATATTTTTCGAGTACCGGATGTAAATATGTGAAATCCCACCATCCGCAAATTTCTCTCAACACACAGTCTGAAATAAACAACAAATAATAAACATCACGCATTTGAAGGCATTGTCTTAAAATTCTCTATATATTTTTCTTACTTACTTACTAATACTCAAAATCTGTGGTTTAATTAATTTACAATTGCACATATACAATACACACATATAAAAACATATAGACAACTAGATTCACCCGCCGCTCAAGCCATCATAGAGCATAGATCATAAGGCTTAGCTTAGTTACGTTTCCACCCCCGATTCAAACGGCCGATCTACCGCGCGACCACCGAACCAAATACACACCTACATACGTACACAGCGGCTTTTCATTGCTTGCGAAGGCTACTATGAGTTTCACTGGATCATCAACTTCGTCATTGGAAAAATGAGCAGCGATCCGCCCCACTACAAACAGACTCCACTAAAGAAGGACAGCTCCAGACCTGACAAGCAAGCAAGACGCAATTAGCCATTCGATGTACAGAGGAGACGCTGTCGGACGAACCTGTGTAGAAGAAAGCCAAGCTAAGGAGCAGCACCTTCTTAGTAAAGAAGAGTTGCCCTGTCCCAGCCCGTGTGTTTCTGCTGCAACTCATTGTCGTGCTCGGCGTTGTCGGGCATAGAGCGCAGGGCAGCTAAAAACACAATTCCTAGCACGGCAATCACAGTGAGCACCCCTATGACCAGATTCCGGGTTTCCTTGTCGATGCACCACCACCCATTGGCGAATGTGCCGATTCGTCGTCCCTCAGCTTATACTCCTGATACAGATCCCGTATGTGATCCATGGATACGGTGCCGCCATAGTTCTCAAACTCCTCCACCTTGACCTTGCTCTCTACATCCACGGCAATGAATTAGGACTTCAATGTCAGATCCTTAATCTGGGGCAGCGGTCCCTTGCTCTCTACATCCACGGCAATGAATTAGGACTTCAATGTCAGATCCTTAATCTGGGGCAGCGGTCCCAGGGTGGCCGGTACTGAGGTGTGCTTAAGCAAAGCGATTAAGTCACGTTCCTCCCTTGGCGTACTGCAAAGCATTCAGCCTTACATTCCCGTTCCGCTCATTCTGCTCGTCATTACGCCCGTTGCCACCGCTGTCTTTACTTTCGAACCATTCATCGGCTACACTGCACCAGTTTACTGGTTTGCACTCCGCTCGATTTGCTCTTTTTCTTAGGCTAGGCAGGCGCTGCCTTGTCTTGGCCGATTGCTCAGAAATCACACACACCCAGCTCTTGGAGTTTTGCGAGCATGCGGTGTTCACGCCATATTCTTGGCCATTTTTCATGTTTCGAGCCGATTTTGTTAAATTGCAATGTAGTACATATTGTATCGATAGGTATACAAATATATTAATATCGATACTTAAACGATGTCGATATTTCCGTGCGATTTTAACTACACTTTTCTCAACTTGGCGCAAAGTTATAGTCGTATTCCCATCTTTATCTTTGTTTTTCCACTCAAATTGGCTTCAAATCGTATGAACATAACATTCAAATTTTTGCTTGAAATACTTTAATACCTTTTTTTGCAGCATTCAACGATTACCGAAATGCCTAACATTAAACTGCAGTCCGCGGAGATGGAAATCTTCGAAACCGACATCGAGATAGCAAAGTGCTCCGGAACTATCAAGGCAATGCTGGAGAATTGCGTCTCGGAGAATGATGAGGATGCCGTTGTCCCTCTGCAGAATGTGAGCTCGACCATTCTGCGTAAGGTACTGATGTGGGCGGAATACCACAAAGACGATCCCCAGTCGCCTGACGAGGACGAGAAGCGCGACAAGGTGAAGCGCACCGACGACATTATCCCGTGGGATGCCGAATTCCTCAAGGTAGACCAGGGCACACTCTTCGAGCTAATGCAGGCCGCCAATTATCTGGATATCAAGGGTTTGCTCGAGGTGTCTTGCAAGACCGTGGCCAATATGATGATGTGCAAGACTCCAGAGGAAATACGCAAGACTTTCAACATCAAGAAGGACTTCACTCCCGCCGAGGAAGAGAAGGTGCGCAAGGAGAACGAGTGGTGCGAGGAGAAGTGAGACGGCTGAGGACCATCAGGACGCCGCCCTCAATTGCTGGCTGACTACACAATAAGTTAATAAATTTCAATATTA